CAGGGCTGGCCTTGAACTTGTGATCCTCTTCCCTCAGAATCCCAAATAGCTAGGATTACAGGTGTGTGCCACTATTCCCGGTGACAGAACAGTTTTTATTGGCCTACTGTGCCTGAGAGAATTAAGGGGAATGTGTTTAGATCCAGCCATCCTGGCGCTGCTGCAGCTCCCCCATGGCCACCTCCTGCGAGCACATGAGAATTCTGCTTGTCTGTTCTAGTCACCTTTGAGCCTGGGAGGTGGTTCTTCTGATGGGCACTGACATGCCCTACTTTAATGCACCCCTCAAGTTCCATAGGGCCATGCCCCTCATGGCTACCCTCTGCCTAGGGCAGGTTTCCGTTGCCCTCCTACCTGACTGTTTAGCCAGGCCACTGGCCATTGCCCATGAGGGAGCAAAAACGCAAACACAGGGGCTTTCCCCATGTTCAGTTCTGTCTTGCTAGACAAACAGCATGCAATTCAGCACACTGAGCTGATTTGCTTTTACCTTCTTCAAATCACCTTCCAAATACGATGTTCGTTCAGCTTGGATCTGCCATCCATGAATGCTGCAGCTCTATGTTTGTCCATCGAGAGCTGATTTTTGGGCACTATTCAAGAATCCATCAGCTCCTCGTGTAGTTTAGAGTCAATCCTAGGGAAGAAGAGGACCCTCCTTGTGCTACAGTGGGTGCCTCTGGCACTGCAGACAGGATCTTCTGACCCAGTGGCAATAGGAACAAGACAGGCCAAGAAATATGAACACTCAGGTAAACCTTTAATTTGGTGGTAGGAGGAGTTACCTTAAGGAGAGAGGGAACAGTACTGCCCCGTTAACAAAAAGGAGAAAGGTTTTTATCAGGTCCCTGGATTAGAAGCTGGTTCTGTGGGGTGGCTCCAGAGATGGCCTTATTGCCTGAGGGGGCAGCCTGGTTCCCATGAGATGATTGCTTCTCTCTAGAGGGGTGGCCTCACCATGGCAGGATCTGTCTGTGAGGCTCTGCTGTTTCTGTAATCCAAGTTGACTACAGGTTTAAGGCAATGACTGGAGACGTCTAGGTACCACTGGAGGTGGGGTGTCTGGAACAGGAAAAAAGCTGGCATAGGATGTCCCTGCAAATCTTTAAAATGCCTGGGATGAGGGATCTGTGTCAGCAGGCTGAGGGATCTGCACTCGAGCCAGAAAGTGACACTGAAGCTAAGAACCAGAGCTCCCCCAAAAAGAACCACAGCATCCTCAGTGACAGCGAGGACCCGAGCTCCTCGGATGATGAGAATGGCCAAGTTCCTATCAGGAAAGCCAGCCTGACAAGCTTCTCCAGGAGAATCAACAGCCCACCATCTTCCCCTGCAGTTCTCCTTTTATGCTGTTGGCAACGGTCCTCAGATGGGCCTTCCACACCCAGCACCACGCTGACTCGGTTTAGCTGGATGTTACAAGTTGAAAATTAGTTACTCCACCACAGAGAGGGATTGAGCCCTCAAGGAAGTCAGCACAAAAACTAAAGACATCAAGATTGTGACTGGAGGGGAATCTGAAGAGAGCCAGGCCTCAGGATGGAGATGCAATAGCCAGGTTGCCAGCCCCCGACTAGAGATAAGCAACAACTTGAGATTATACCATAATTATCACCACTTGGTCCAGTGGCATGTAACAGGTTTTTTCAGATGGTTTTAAACTATGAACTCAGTTTTTTATTTTTATTTTGTGATACTGAGAATTGAACCCAAGGCCATCACACTGAACTACGTCCCTGACCCTTTATTATTTTTACCTTGAGATGGGGTCTAAGACACTAAATTGTCCAGGCTGGAGTTGAACTTGCAGTCCTCCTGCCTCAGCTTCCCAGAGTGCTGGGATTATAGGTATGTGCCACTACATCCTGCTGAATTCAGTTTTTCAATGGGTACTTTTTATCTATTTCTTCTTGAGTAAATTGTGGTATTTTGTGGATTCCTTGGAATTAGTCCATTTTATCCACGTTGTTCAATTTATGTGAATAAAGTCGTTCATTCCTTTTTCTTATTTCAGTGTCTGTGGAGTATATAGTGATATCTCCTTTGCCACTTCTGATATTTGATAACATTTCTTTTGGTTTTTTTCTTTGTTAGTCTGGCAAGTTTATCAGTTGTGTTGGTCTTTTTTTTAAATGAACTTTTGGTGTCATCAGTTTATCTATTATTTTTCCTATTTTTAATTTCACTTGTCTCTTGTTTTTATTATTTCTTCTGCTTGCTTTGAATTTTTCTTTTATTTCTAGTTTATGAAGAATAAGATTAGATTGCTGATCTTTTTTTCTCTTAAGCATTTGTTGGTATAAATTTCAATCTCATCACTACATTAGCAGTATCCCACAAATATGGATATGTTTTATTTTCATTTTATTTGGGCTCAAAATATTTCTAATTTACCTTGAAACTTTCTTTTTGAATCATGCATTATTGAGAATTGTGTTTGGTGTTGTTTATTTTTATAAGTGGAGTCTTGCTGTGTTACCCAGGCTGGCCTCAAACTTCTGAGATCATGTGCCACCTCACCTGGCCAGAAGTGTCTTCATAGTCCCTGAATAGTTAGGGATTTTCCAGGCATCTTTTTATTATAGGTTTCTAGTTTGATTCCATTAGAGTCAAAGAGTATACTTTTAATGTTTTTAATTCTTTTTAATTTCTTGAGGATTGTTTTATAATCCAAGATATGGCCTAGCTGAGTGAATTGCATGTGTTCTTGAAGGACCTGTGTTCTTTTCTTGTTCCAAGTGAAGCATTCTGTGAAACCCTTTGGTTGATTAGGGGTGCTCAGTTTTCCTATATCCTTCCTGATTCTCTGTCTACTAGCTTGTCTTGTTCCTGGAGAATTGAATTTTCTGGTCATCGTTGTGGATTTGTCAATCTCTGCTTCCAGTTGTTTCCATTTTGCTTCACATTGTGAAGCTCAGTTATGAGTGCATTGACCCCCACCCTGCCCGCAGCTGTCAGGGGCTTCCCTCCCCTCCACAGCTGTTCTCAGGAGCTGGCCAGACAGCTAGGATTTCAGTCTTTCTTCTTCATCACTCATGGTATCCCAACTAGATTTGCCTTCAGAGCCAACCATTAGCAGGCCAAGGGAAAAGCTGTGGGGTCCTTCCCAGTGCATTCAGTGTATTATTCCTCTGGTCAGAGCAAAAAATACCTCTTGCTTTGGGTGTGAGGTGCCTGCTGCTGTGGGACTGCATGAGAAAAGCAAACCAGGGCTTTTGTTCTCTGTCCCACAGCCACCCCTTTTTGCTCCAGAGGCCAAAAAGGTCTTCTTTTAGCTGCTAGAGATAAGGACAGTAAATGGGTGTGTTCTTTTCTACTACTTAAATTTGGAAATGGCACACTTACCTAAAACTTTCTCATCTCTTATCTTTCAAGACTACACTTTTCTAGCTCTATTCCTGCCCTTCAAATATTTCCTTTTAATCTTCATGGCATATTGGTGTCCCCTCAGACTCTGTACTCAGTGTCTCTCTAACCCATCCATGTCCTCTCTTAGCTACCCAGTGCATTCTGGTGGCTTCTGCTAGTGGTGAAATGATGCGGTCTTTCAAACCTGTGTCTGTCTCAGATTTCTCTTCTAAACTCCAGCGGGATGTCTCCATCACTCTGCCCCATAACATACCCCCCCAGCTCAGCCACAAGCTCTATCTCAGTTTTCCCTCCATCAGTCCTTCATCTCTCCTGCTTTCCTCATGTCAGTATACAGGCCCAGCCTTAACCCAGCTATTCATGCAGTTATCCTGGGAGTGGTGCACTGTCCCTTCTCCCATGTGGCAGCACTGCTACGTCATTTGTAAATATGAATGAGTTGTGGGATGGTCAGAAACTGCTCCTGTAGTATAAGGAATCAAGTAATTTGAAGGCTGATGATCTATAGCAGACAGAAATTCAAAACTCTCTCCACTATAAAATGTCTCTGTAGCCCTTTGCTCATCATGGCCTGTAGCACAATTTTCTTGTCATATCATGGTATATGCAATCCCATAAACAACTCACCATGCATATTTCATGCATTCCTGCATTTTTTTGTGTTGTTACCCCACATTCCTGCAGGAAATGGTATTATTTCCATTTGTGATTCTGGAGATTAAACACACGACCTGAAGCATACTAGGAAGTTCTCTACTACTGAGCTATATCACCAGCCCCTTTAAAAATTATTTTTACTATTTTTTGTGGTGTTGGGGATAAAATTCAGGATCTTGTGCATGCTAGGACTATTATTTCAATCATATATGTGTTACTGCATGATAGTATGTGTATATTTTGTGTAATGATCATCACTGGTTGAGTAAAGAAAATGTGGCATATATTCAGAATGGAATATTATTCCACCATAAAAACAATGATGTCCTATCATTTGCAGCGAAATGGATAGAACTGGAGGACACCATGTGGCATAAAATGAGCCAGATCTAGAAAGACAAATTCCATATGCTCTCTCTCATATGTAGATATTATAAAAAATGTTGCCCAGAATGTAAAATTGTGATGACTAGAAGCTGGAAAGCGTGGATCAAGAGGGCATAGTGAGAGGTTAGAGTGTGGGCATCTAAACGCAGGTAGGTACAGCTTGTCTTCTTGTTCAGGATTCAGTGCTCTTCTTCCCCAGCGAAGTGCAGTCTGGTAACACCAAGCAGGATTCACTCCCATTCCTCATGAGAGCCCAGTGTCCCTGTCCCCATGTCTAGCATTTCTCTTGCACAGATGAGCTCCTAGAGTACAGATTCCATAGCTTCTTCATTTCCCTAGAAGTGTGCACAGGTCCAGGTAGACAGTCTTAACTCACTCTTCTAGTAATCTTTTCTCCATGAATTAATACATTAATGCAGTGATGGGGCTTTTTATGCCCTCCAAAATTGTGATGCCAACTAAGACACTGAGTCACGTATCCAGTGTGACTGTTTCTAGTTGCTCTCAATAGGACTCCATGAAGAGGACTTGTGCTCACACAGCTTTTCCATGCATCGTATTCTGATCATTGCAGATTGTTGTTACAGGGATCCCTGTCATTTGAGGATGTGGCTGTGGATTTCACCCGACAGGAGTGGCACAGATTGGACCCTGCACAGAGGACCATGCACAAGGATGTGATGCTAGAGACCTACAGCAACCTGGCGTCTGTGGGTGAGGATGCTTGTCTGTGTGATCACAGGGGTATGTGGTTACTCTAACGTGTACAGCCTCTGCAGAGTTCTGCATTGTAGTTTCAGATTTAAGGGTCACAGCCAACTGAGTAGTTTAGGGTACCAGGAAGAATGTATATATTCTGACATCCCCAATAAAAGGTTTCAATGGGCCCCCTTCCTCATGCAGCTCATGAAGATGCACCTTTCTCCTCCATCAGAGGCCCTAAAGCTCAGACATCTTGGCCCATGTGCTATGCCATTTCCCATTAACAGGCCTCTGTGTGGCGAAACCAGAGATGATCTTCAAGTTGGAGCGAGGAGAAGAGCTGTGGATATTAGAGGAGGAGTCTTCAGGCCATGGTTATGCTGGTAAGTGAGCAAGAACCAGACATGGAGCACAGGGGAAATAAGATCCCAGGAATTCAGGTCAAAGGTTAGCCTCATGTTTTCCGGGCATCTCTTTTTGGAGGCCTAAGCTCATTGAAAATAAGGACAGAAGGTCTACACACTTCAGACCCTAAATTGGATGTCCCAGTATCATGGTTACATGTCAGTGCTGTTTTATTGTGATTTTTGTAAAGTTATCTACTATTCTTATTGACCTCTGCCTCCTCCTAGACATTTATTCTTCCTCTTATCCATTGCCTTGGGTGCCTTCTGATATCAGGCATTCATTCATATATACATTTATTTAGTCATTCACCAAAACTTAAGTGAGTACCAAGTATATGCTCATCACATTGTAGGTGTGGAGACCAGAAGTAAAAAAAAAAAATCTCTCTTTTCTTGGAGTTTGCAAGCTAGTGAGGGAAAGCAACCAAAAGCAAATGCATAATATGTTTGGCAGTGAACAGAAAGTCAATGGAAGGTAAGAAAGCTAGCCACCATTTTGTACATTTAGGGAACATGGTCAAGGAAGACTTTTTGGTGCACAAACATCAGTGAAGTGAGCAAGATGGAGCCATGTAGGCTTCAAGTATCCTGGGCGGAGAATTGTGAGTGTCGAGCCTAGACAGAGTGACATGTTCTAGGACTCACAAAAAGGCCAGGTTGAGAGAGGGGGAGAATGTTAAGAAGTGGCATCAGTGAGTTAGCAGAGGGCTGAATACCTAGCTCTAAAGGCTAAGTTAAGGAGCTTAATTTTATACTGTGATTGGCTCTTTTGGAGGTTTATGTGAAAGAGTGACATGCTCTTATTTGTTTTTAAAGAATCCCTTTCACTGCTGTGTGGCAGCACTTCAGTTGGGAGCAATGCCCTCAACCTTCTTCAGCATCAGAAGATGCAAACTTTGAATGAAAATGTGGACTATAACACATGTGGCAAAGGTTTTCATGAGGAAACAGCCTTTGTCAGACGTAAAAGAACACATGCAGGAGATAAAAACTTTGAATGTCATGAATGCGGGAAAGCGTACTGCAGGAAATCAAACCTTGTTGAACATCTGAGAATACACACAGGGGAGAGGCCCTATGAATGTGGTGCATGTGCAAAAACCTTCAGTGCAAGATCCTATCTCATTGCTCATCAGAAAACCCATACAGGAGAGAAGCCTTTTGAATGTCATGAATGTGGGAAATCTTTTGGCAGGAAGTCACAGCTCATTCTGCATCAGAGAACACACACAGGAGAGAGACCCTACGAATGTATGGCATGTGGGAAAACCTTTTCCGAGAAGGCAACTCTCACAATTCATCAGAGAACCCACACAGGAGAGAAGCCGTATGAGTGTGGTGAATGTGGAAAAACGTTTCGTGTCAAGATATCCCTTACCCAACACCAGAGAACTCACACGGGGGAGAAACCCTATGAATGTGGGGACTGTGGGAAAAACTTCCGGGCCAAGAAATCCCTAAATCAACATCAGAGAATTCACACAGGGGAAAAACCCTATGAATGTGGAGAATGTGGGAAATTCTTCCGAATGAAGATGACTCTCAACAACCATCAGAGAACCCACACAGGTGAAAAACCCTATCAGTGTAATGAATGTGGGAAGTCTTTCAGGGTGCACTCATCTCTCGGGATCCATCAGAGAATTCACACGGGAGAGAAACCTTATGAATGTAATGAATGTGGTAATGCCTTCTATGTAAAAGCTCGCCTCATTGAACACCAGAGGATGCATTCAGGAGAGAAACCCTACCAGTGCAGTGTATGTGGGAAAATCTTTAGTATGAAGAAATCCCTTTGTCAGCACCAGAGAACTCACACAGGAGAGAAACCTTATGAATGTAGCAAGTGCGGAAATGCCTTCTATGTGAAAGTGCGCCTCATTGAGCATCAGCGAATTCACACAGGAGAGAGACCCTTTGAATGTCAAGAATGTGGCAAGGCTTTCTGCCGCAAAGCACACCTCACAGAACATCAGAGGACTCATGTGGGCTGGCCCTGGCCTTGTGCCATGGAGAAAGCTCCCCCTAACCCCTCTGCTGCATGGGATCAAGGCCTTTGGAGCATCTGATCACCACAGCCTGAAGAGTACCCCTGTCATGATGTGGCACCTACATTGATGTGAACCAGGTCCCGGTGGCCTTGGAATATAGCACATTATTGTTTTCATTTATATTTCTCCACTTAGTGGTGAGGATGAACATCTTGTCTGTTCATTGACCATTTAGATGTTTTCTCCAATACATTGTTTCTATTTCTTGCCCATTGTTTTATAATGGGCTGTTCATCTTTTCCTCCCTGGTTTAAATGTCATTGCTTTTAATTTATGAGATTATAAAACTCTTTTCAGTCATATATGTTGTAATATCTTCTCCCAGATTATGGCTTGTTCTTTAATTCTGGTAAAAGTGTTATGTTTTACTGTCATCACTTTCAAGATAACGATATTCACCTATACTTTCCTCTGAAGTCAAAGGTTTTTTTTTTTACATTTAGAATTTTAATTTATAGTGAAGTGTTTTTTTTTTTTTTTTTCCTTTGTCCTGGGGATTGAACCCAAGGCCTTTGCACTGAGCTACATCCCCAGCAACTCTTGCTGAGTTGCATGGGCTGGGATCAAACTTGTGATCCTCCCACCTCAGCCTCCCAGAGTGCTGGGATTACAGGCATACACCACCATGCCTGGCTCTACTGTGAGCTTTTTGTATAGTATGAAGTCTGCAGTATCTACTATATTGTCTGTTTAGGTTTTTCCATAGCTGGTATCATACTAGTTAAATTTCAGCAGCTGGCATTTTTCTGTGGAATGTTACCTTCCCAAGATCTATCTATGCTGATAAATGCAGATCTGGTTTACTCATTCCTCTCTCCATTCTCCTAGTGGAAAACGTGTTGTTTTTGTGTTTCATGTCTAATCCTAGAAGTGGACCTGCTGGTTCCAGTGTGCCAATTATAAAGCTTCTGTGCCCCAGCTCCAAAATCATCCTTCTAGACTTTCCTTTGTGACTCTACAGACCACATTTCTGTCTTGCTAGCTCCTCTATGTGGGGCTATTGCCAATGAGAGATACTAGTTTTAAACTTTGGGGCTGGAGATGAGGTACTTTCTCCTTTGTTTAACCCTTCCTGGAATGTCCACATGCTGTGGCTTCTTCATGGGGACAGCAGCAACAGCTCCTTGCAGCTTTGCCCATTTGGCAGTTTTCCAGCACTCTTAAAGCTATCCTATGGGACCCACCCTCTTCAGGACAAGCATCAGCGGCTGGTGCTACATGCTTAGAGGTATGAGTCCCAGCCACAAGGTTACCCTCCTCCACCTTACTCATTTTTTTGCTTTTTTTTTTTGCAGTACTGGAGATCAACCCCAGGAGTGCTTTACCACTGAGCTACACTCCCAGCCCCTTTATTTTTTTAGTTTCCTGGGCTGGCCTTGAACATGTGACCCTTCTGTCTCAACCTCCAAAGCAGCTTGGATTATAGTTGTGTGCCCTCATGCCTAGCCCTCTTCTAAGTTTTAATAATTGCAACTTTATCCCTTCAGTGCTACCCTAGCCTGCTGCTTTCTCTTGTTGCTACTTCCTTGATAATTTAAATGCTCTTTTTATCTCTTCAGTTATGTAGTTAACAAGTTATGTAGTTAACAACTTCATAACTACTGAAAACTTATTTCAAATAATTCCTCTCTGTTAAAGAACCAGGCATGGTGGCCCATGCCTGTAATCCCAGCACTCAGGAGACTGAAGCAGGAGGATCACTGCGAGTTCAAGGCCAAACTAAATTGAGACCCTGTCTCAAAAAATTAAAACAGAACAAAACTTCTCTCTTTTAAAATAACAAGTGTGCTTTCTGTGTCATGACTGGTCTCTGATTAATACAGTCGTTTGTCGAGTTTCATTAAGCATTTAATGAATTTCCCTTTCAGATTGTATTAATTTTCCCTTTCAAACTGTATTAATTTATTATTGTATTAATTCCCTTTTAGATTGTATTAATCGAATTTTCCCTTTCAGATTGTATTAATTTACACTCTCAGGAGCAGTTTGAAAAAGTTTCCATTTTTTCCACAATAGCCAGCACTTATTATCATTCCTCTAAATTTTAATAGCAACTTTGATCATATGCATGTATATACATACATATTTCAAATATAATGGTGTGCTATATTTCAAAATATAATGATGTATTATGAGATATAAATGTGTGTGTGTGTGTAAGCACACATCTCCCCACAAAAGTTTTTGTCTTATTTGGGCAATATTCTTCTGATCTTAGGCACATATTCACTATCTTGGTTGCTCTTGATGACATTTTACATTCCATTGAGGATCATTTTCCCATTTGCTTGAAAAATACCCTGTAGGGTTTCCTCTGCTAAGAAGTCTGGTTGTGGTGAACCTAACCTCTCAACTTTGTCTGAGAATGTGTCTTATATCTTTTTTCGATCAGTAAGAGTGAGTCTGAGCCTGATGTGGTGGTGTATGCCTATATTCTCATCTACTTGGGAGGCTGAACCAGGAGAATTGCAAGTTCAAGGTCAGTTTGAGCAACTTAGTGAGACCCTGACTCAAAATAGAGCTGGGGCTGTAGATTAGTGGTACAGTACTTGCCTAGAATGTGACAAGGCCCTGAGTTCAATCTCCAGTACTAGGAGAAAAAAGAGTGAATCTTTTAGCTTTAGGAGTTGGTGGCACTATGCCACAGTAAATTGATACTGTGTTAAAATACTTTTTCCTTGAATGTCCCATGACTATGATGACCCAGGTTATTTGAATTGACCCTCAGATACACCACAATGTAGCATCTACTTGAATGTACATATTGCATTTTCTGTATTTCCTGTACAGTAGATCTCATTCTTTTTGGTGGTACTGGTCATTGCCGCACCAATGTATTTGCTAACTGTATCCTAGCTACCGCCACTCTGTCTGCTGATCCTCAGTTCATCATCAGAGCAGACTTTAACGTCTGTGCGCTCCCAGCAGTGTCTGCTGAGTCCACATTAGCCTCACCTTGCTAGTCGCTCAGTGTCTTTGACTCTCCTAAAACCCAATCTTAGTGTTTGTTGGCCCTGCATTGTTCTCTGTCTCTGAAGCCACTGCTCAGCGTCTGGGTGCAGTGAGGCCCCAGCATGGTGCCCACACCCCACCTCCAAGCCCATCCCTGTTGGGCTCAACGCCGCAACTGCTGACCACTCACCACTCTTGTGGAGTCTATCTCATGTTTCTCAGTCACAATATCTGCCCACCTATGGCAGTATCATCACATGTCCCCTAAACTTTGGTCACAAATATGGGGCAGGGTCTTTGGTCTTCATAAAGAATTGGCCCAGCATTTGCTGGCTCCACGTTTTCTCTTAAGCACTCTGCTGATTAGCCACTTGTCACCTCTAAAGTAGTTCTGCCTCTATCACAGTATCAGCACACAGTGGCCCCCTGCCTGTGTAGGCTGATTCCTCACTGTCACCTGGTGTGGCGTAACTGATCTCATGAGCCCCAGCAAAATGGGTGGAGCTCATTAGAGGCTACCTTTTATTAGAGCCGATCATGGTTTCAAATTATGCTATGTTAGCCACCGGTACAACGTCTTTGACCCCATGAATTCCCTTAGCCATGTCTGTTGGTGCTGGGTCAGCTCCCATCACTCTCTTGAGTCCTCATTAGCCATTGGAATAGTGGCTCTGATCTCTCTGATGGTACCACATAGCCTCTGGTGACCCTGAATGCACTAGGATGAGTCACTGTTCCTGATTTCTGTCAGCTGGTTGCTTGACTGTCCTATGACATTCGGGGGTGGTTTCCCCTCCCCTGCTGTTCTACACTCTGCCTGTCCTCTTACTACAAGACTTGTTCTCTGACCCCTGTGGCCTTTCAGTGAGTGCTGTCACTGTACCTGTCCCTGTAGTCCCTCTGTTTTCTGGTGTCCTAGGATGTTTTATCAGCCCTGGGTTGTTGGCAGGAATCATAAACTGTCCCTGCTGCTTTTAACTGCTCCTCAATACCCAGAATAGGTGACCTTACCCTCTGGTTGTTACTGTAATTCTGGGATGTTCAGACTCCTTACTGCTTATTTTGTGGTCTGTCTGTTTTTCAAGGCCAAGGTCTATGGTAGAGTATCCCCCCTTATTCACAAGGGATACGTGCCACCACTCCCAGTAGATACTTGGAACCAGAGATAGTACCAAACCCTGCATATACTGTGTTTTCCCTATACATACAAACCTAAGATGAAGCTTAATTTATAAATTAGGTGCATTAAGAGATTTTCAGTTGTAACAATATACTGTAATAAAAGCTGGACAGTGCAAGATTTCACCATGCTGCTCAGAATGGCACACAATTTAGAACATGAATTATTTACTTGGGGGATTTCCTGTTTAGTATTTTCAGACTGTGGTTCATTGCAGATAAGTGACACCCCAGAAAGAAATGCCGTGGAGTGGAGGGGTGCTGTATACTCTGCACACAACTGGGCACGTTAAACAGCAAGTGGGAATTGCAGGCTGCAGAGGGAGCACCTTCCTCCCAATTCAATCCCTGTGGCTGAACTGCCATACAGAAGCATTCCTTACTGAGGGCTCCTGCGCCCGAGCCCTGCTGTGGCCTCCTGAAGGGAGACCTAGAGTCACTACATTTCCTCTCATTACTCTTCTAGGAAATCTACAGGAGTAAACATTCCCCAACATTGAGTGTGTCTGTGTGAGAATCTCTTTGGAGAGACTCTGACACGGAGAGCAAGCACGTGGAGTAACAGCCACGTGAGGTGTGCACCATGGGAAGCAGTTCAGTGGGTGACCTGAGGACCAGCCCTTCTCTCACCTGAGTCTTAGTCTTTTCCCTAAAATGTGGGCATCCCAGTCCCTACCCATAATCCTCCAATTGTCTGTACTAAGGTTTTGATTATGGGACTTCTTTGCTCCTTGTGTATTTTTTTAGGCTGAAACACAAAACCTTCATCATAATAATGTGGAATATTATTAATAGTGATTTAATTTATAGACTGGCAGTATAGTATAATGGTTAAGAACATGAACACTGGCACCAGATCTGTATTCAAATTCTACCCTGGAATGCCTTAGATATGATAGCAAAAGTATATTTTGTAAACAAAAAGTAAATAAATTGGACTTAAAATTAAAAATTTTTCTGCTACAAGTACACTACAAAA